GGAAGCGAGACGTATTTGCCGCAATAAGAAGAGAGAGGCCGAAATACGTGAGTGCGAAGAGCTTGAAATTCTGGCCGACAGAAAGAATGCCCGAAAATTTTACCAGAGAGGTAGGCGACTTACGGATGGTTTCAAGACCAGGGCGTACTCCTATAAGAACAATAGTGGCGACCTAGTAACTCATGTCCAGAGCGTATTTAAACTATGAAGGGAACACTTTTACACGCCACTAAATGGTAGCAGCACGGAAATTTGTGGAGAAGAAGAACCCGAGCCCGCAGTCGATGATAATGGAGTCGACGTTCCACCGCCTGACTATGACGAGGTACGTATAGCAATAACGCTTCTGAAAAACAACAAAGCTGCTGGAGCTGACAGCCTGCCAGCTGAGCTATTCAAGTACGGCGGCGAGGAGTTGATAAGGTGCATGCATCAACTCTTGTGCAGAATATGGTCAGATGAACGCATGCCCGACGACTGGAATTTAAGTGTGCTCTGCCCAATCCACAAGAAAGGTGACCCCGCCATTCGCGCCAACTACCGCGGGATCAGCCTTCTAAGCATAGGTTACAAGGTCTTATCGAGCGTATTGTGTGAAAGACTGAAGCCCACCGTCAATGAACTGATTGGGCCTTATCAGTGTGGCTTTAGACCTGGCAAATCCACCATAGACCAGGTATTCACAATACGCCAAATCTTGGAAAAGACCCGCGAGAAAAGGATCGACACTCACCACCTATTTGTCGACTTTAAAGCCGCTTTTGACAACACTAAAAGGGGTTGCCTATACGCCGCTATATCTGAATTTGGTATCCCCTCAAAACTCATACGGCTGTGTAAAATTACGTTGAGCAATACCACCAGCTCCGCCAGAATTGCGAAAGGCCTCTCCGAGCCGTTCGCCACAAAACGGGGTTTCAGACAGGTCGACTCCCTTTCATGTGACTTTTTTAATCTGATGTCGGAGAAGATAATAAGAGCTGCAGGACTGAACCGCTCAGGAACAATTCACTAAAAGAGCGTGCAAGTTCTGGCTTATGTCGATGACATCGACATCGTCGGTAACAAAAACCTTGAAGTCTGTTCTACCTTTTCCAAGTTGGATAGGGAAGCAAAGCGAGTGGGTCTGGTGGTAAACGAGGACAAGAAGAAGTATCTCCTGTTATCAAACAGAACCAGCATTAACACCGATAATAATGTCAGCATTGAAATCCAACACAGAATCACTCTTGCCAACAAGTGCTACTTATTCCAGAATTCCTGATTAATGAACTGCAAATTTTAATTGGTTAAGAATTCGTGTTGGTTTTTCATATTTTTATTTGCTGGCGGGTTCACCCATAATAATAACACCATCCCCTTTCTAGCTATAATTTAATTAGGTATAAAACTGCAAACTAGAATTATCTCAAAGTTCTTATTAAAAAGTCTGTAGTAAAATTTTATTGAATTTGTGTATGTGTTCATGAATAAACTATGAGCCACTTAACTCATCTAGCGGTATACACTAGTTTACAAGCAAGCTAACCAATTGTGAGAGAGTAACATTTTTTAGTGAGAGCAAGTTTGAGTGAACAATGGGGTGATTCATGAGCATGTGAGCATATTCATAAGCTGAGCTATTCACTGCCGAACTCTGATTTGTACCCAATAAAAAATTTTGGTTTGGTTTTGGTGCATGAGTCAGATATATTACATTATTCATCCAAGGTTTTGGTTTTTGCTAACAGTTGCTCTTGCTCTATATTTGCTTATACAACCAACCTTTGAAATTTTATGACGAATGTAGTGAAGTTTCACTCTCGGAAATATAGTGAAGTTTCACTCTACGGCATAACAAATTAATTTTTACCGGTAAGAAAAGAAAACGAAAACAAGTTAAATTGAGGAACAATTTATCTGCCCTGTTAGTAAAGGCAACTTTACTGCTTTATTATTAACATTAGGAAACGGCCCTAAGGGTTTTCTTTACTCAACGTTATTGTCCATTAAATGCCGTTAACGAATTATTAACTGATTCTGAGTGGGAAATTCTTCGAATGGTACCGTGACATAGCCCCAAGTGGCATAGTCCAATTTTAAAATTTGGGGTAATGTTACTTCTTGTGTAGTGACATAAACCCCATTTTTTTACTTGTGGTTATATCACTATAAAAGGAGTGAAATATTTCCAAACGAAAAGACGACAAAATTCCAAATCTCTCAGNGTGACATAGCCCCAAGTGGCATAGTCCAATTTTAAAATTTGGGGTAATGTCACTTCTTGTGTAGTGACATAAACCCCATTTTTTTACTTGTCGTTATATCACTATATAAGGAGTGAAATATTTCCAAACGAAAAGACGACAAAATTCCAAATCTCTCAAGTAATTTTGCAAACCAAAAGAATTTAGAATGTGCAAGAATAATGATAAATGACATTTTTGTCAAAACACTGTCATAGGAGCTGGCTTTGCCTACAATATTTTCTTGTCAACGCCTATAGGCGATCTAATATTACAACATATTTATGTATAACTGAGAATCAATACTTACTAGACGCGACGTTTTTTAAGGTTCTACGATGTGGATACAAGCAATTGTTTATTATGTTCCCTTACTAAGTAGAATTCTCCTTTCTGTATTGCCGAATAAGAGGGGAAGAAGTATTTTTGCGCAGAACTTCCTTCTGCGTAGGCGGCCTTTGGCCGCGCTTAGGGATTATAACACTTACTAAGTAGAATTCTTCTTTTTGTGTTGCCAAAACAGAGGGGCGGAAGTATTTTGGCGCAGAACATCTTTCTGCGTAGGCGGCCTTCGGACGCTGTTAGAGATTATAACCCTTACGAAGTAGAATTATCTTTTCTGTGTTTCCGGAAAAGAGCAGAAAAAATATTTTTGCGCAGAAAAGATTTTAATAGAAAATTTAATTTTCATTTCTTTAGTGTGTTCTTATATGCTTTTTTTATTTTTCTTGAGACCGGGAAAATATGCTTTAGCCTCAAAAATGACATTATACCAATTGGGGTTATGACACCTAATAAGAAGTGACATAACTCCAAGTATAACTCATATAAGTTACTGTATAAGGAGTGACATAATTCCAAATTTTAAAATTGCAGTAATGCCGTGCAGTAATGGGTTATGTCATGGTACCCTTCAAATCTATACTGAGCAGCCATTTATGTAATAATTAAACTGTCCATGACTTCGGCTGTTAGTGTAATTAATTTAAAATTTTTATATGGAGGCTATATTACTCGACTAGGCCTACAATTACTACATTATAATTTAAATTCCACTATTACGCAGTGTTATTAGTATTCGAAAGAAAACATATCTATTAATACTTACGTCTGTTTCCACTGTATCGCTACCATTCATTATCGCAAACGAGCTATTGTGCTGCGATAAACGTTGCTGAATCTGAGATATGTCTACAACAGAGGAGCTATCATACAGGACAGCGGCGGTTACAATACTTCTTTTCATTGCATCTACACTTGCTCCCATAATTGTTTTGGCGCCTAGCTCATCAGCTTGCAGCGGTCTAATATCGTGTATAATTACTTTTCCTCCCGTTATTGTGGAAAGTGTTTCTTCAGTTTTCGCTTTGTCAGGATTTCCGCCTGGCACTACAAAAGTCAGAGTACGGCTTCGACTCTCCGGTGGATATATACGGATAGTAGTCGTGCTGAACCGTACTGGTACTCCTAAATCATAAGCACGCGCAGTTAGCAGGAATATGTCGCCATCATTGTTAGATAAGGTTTGGCGTCGTAATCTCGTTTTGGATCGCAACGTTATTTTCTCTCGAACTATCAATTCGCCAGTTATTTTATCCAAATAAAATTTATTTTCGTAATTACCATTGATTATTTCATATCGAACTTCATTGTTGGGCGCTGTGGCATCATTGTCAATGGCGTGTATAACAGCAATGGATGTAAAGCTTTTCAAGCCTGCCGATAATATGAATTCATAAAGATCTTTCTCAAAGATTGGAGTTTCATCATTGACGTCAATTAATTTTATAACCAGAGGAACTTGAGCGCGATTACCAGTGCCATCATTGTCGCGGGCCTCTACATATAGATGGTATTCCGGCATTATTTCACGATCAAAACCGTGATTAATGGTCGATACTGTGATGAGCCCTGACTCTGCATCTAGATTTAATGAGGTATTTAAATAGCCCAAAATTGCTGTATATCGAACACGTCCGCCTAGACCTGCCTTGTCTACGTCGCTGGCTTTAACTTGGACAACTTTGGTCCCGACAGTCATATTTTCTGGAAGTTCTACAGTATACACAGGGTGTTCAAATATCGGTGGGTTATCATTAACGTCGTTAATGTACACCGTGACATTCGCAGCTACTGAAAGATTTGTTGCTGGTCCTAATTCTTGTGCTAAAATTTGGAATTGCACCGAATAGCGTTCTTCGTAATCTAATAACACATTATCACGTACACGTATTAGAAATGAAGTACTGCGTTCAGCAACATTGGGTGTAATCTCGAATGTCCCGTTATTGTTTAGCAAGGTTAAAGAGAAGACTCCATTTTTTCCGGTATCATCATCGTACACACGAGGCAAATATGGATCCGCAAATGTCAAAGCAGTTCCTTGTGGAGCATTTTCATCCACCCTAGTGACATAGCTGAAAAGATGTTAAATGGTAGTATTTGTCTATATAATGAAAATTAATCAAAATAACGTAACGCAGTTAATAACCAATTAAAGAGTCAGTTAGTGCAGATTAAAAGCATAGACAGGCGACAGCGTTGATCTGAATCAACTTTTCAATTCGGAATTATCTCGGGAATTAACTGCAGTTGATAAGGATTAATTCTTATAGTTACTTCCCAAAACTAATTCGGGTCAAGGAAATTTTCGATGATAACACTGGTCAGCGGCCAAAAATAAATAAAGCAAACAAGTGAGAAAACAGTGCAAGCANATCTCGGGAATTAACTGCAGTTGATAAGGATTAATTCTTATAGTTACTTCTCAAAACTAATTCGGATCAAGGAAATTTTCGATGATAACACTGGTCAGCGGCCAAAAATAAATAAAGCAAACAAGTGAGAAAACAGTGCAAGCGAGTTCGCATCCACGGTAACTAAGTGGTTACAAATGTGTACTGCAAATCAGTCGCACCCAGGTTCGATCCCCACTTTATTTTATTTCATCTTGCTTTATATTTTTTTCTTTTTGTTATATCACATATTTTTTTTCAAGTTAATCATTGTTTAGTTTAATTTTAATTAAATTTATATTATACAACTATAATAAAGACCTAAAGTTTTACACCGACTCCGAACGGCGATTGTATTTTTATGAGAAGCTGTTTTTCATGGCAGTATACACTGGGCGTTTTGCCATTGCCTGTCGAGGGATGACCGCTATTAGAAAGAACTTTTTTCTTTTTATTATTTGATTGTGGTCGGAAACCTGGGAGGTTTGTCCATGCCTGCCGAGGGGCGACGGTTATTAGAAAAAGCTTTTTTGTTTCTGTTTTTTGATTACGGTCGTGTAACAACTTAACGTTAAACTAAGTATGAATGTATTTAGCTCTAATTTATTTAAGTTACAAATATTATTTTAATATAAAATAAGGAAATATAATTAAATCGCGTGAAAAGGCGCACGGGAAAGCGACGTCTAAGAACCAAGAAGCAAGCAAACCTCATTGACAGAACAAAAGAAGAACGATACATGGAAAACAGCAAAATTGTGTTTCCAGATGTATTCTAGTTTCGGGTTACGATACATGATCTCCTCCGCAACTATTTCATAGTTCCGCTACGTGCTGATCGTCGCATTAGTATGTCGTCTCTGCGCAGTTTTTCTCCAGTTGAAGAGAGTTTTTTATAACCTTTGTTTCGGGTCTTGATTTGGTTGTTATGCCTCCTTAGTACGCCTTGATCGGTTTTCACTTTGTACATGACACCTCCAAGATTTGTCAGAATGATACCCGAAATCCAAGGCCCCTAGCAACATTTTTCACAACTACCGCATCTAATGAGTGTATATGATGCTGAATGCCGTAGTCGGTGCAAAATTGCTGAAATGTGGAGGCTATAAATTGTCGCCCGTTGTCGCAAAATTTAGTTAAGGGCTTTTATAGTCGCAGTGGATATTATATGTCGCATTTTTACTACGAATGGAAATTTTGATAGGCATCTACAACAATAGCCACATTGAATCTAAAAATGACCCATCGAAATCTAAATGGATACGATGCCAAGATGCATCAGCTGCAGGCGAACAAGAAAACTCTGGTGCAGGAGATGAAGAGCTGTGCTCTTGACAAGGTCTGCAGTTAGGTACGCGTTGCTCGATGCCTGCTTTTGAGAGGTTTTCCAGCCACCCCACCTCTATATACTTGCTTACTTTTTTAAGAACCACATCGGGTGAGTTAGTTTGCGAAGGCGTGATTCGCTTAACGGGAATTTGTCTAGTTGTTACTCAACGTCCACCTGAAAGCATAGATTTCCTATATCAAAGTCAACGTCGCACAGTGTTTCGACTATATGGAGGCAGGTGGAAATAATAGTTAACCTGTACCGATTTCGCTGAGACTTGACTCGTGGTCTAATTTTACTTAGGGATAAGCAATTATGAAATTTGATAAAGATCGGATAATTGCCACGCCTTACACTGTTGTAGGCGGTAGCTTTAAATTTCATCCGATTTCTATGTAGTTGAGTTACTTATCTCTCTTTTATAACGAAACCTTAAAGGTAAAATATGGAGAAGATTGGATCAACATAACGTCTACAACTCGCAAAAAATATGGGTCCAATCATTAAATGTGGTGGAATTCCGGTTAATTATTGTTTTCTGCTTTCCACTGTCTGAACAACAAAGGTTATACTTAACAAATAAGAAACTCTAAGTTCGGGCGGAGCCGAACATTAAATACCCGGCGGGGTGTACCAATTTTGAGAAAACCAGCGTCCTTAAATTTCGAAATATTGAAGTTTCAAGCATTTCTGAAATTTAACGTTATATGAAAAGCGGCCGTAATTTTAATCCGATTTCAATAATTTTCAACGTTTTGCTTCTAGGTGGCAAATAGAATAACCACACCGAGTTTGGTACAAATTGGTAGAACGGTAAGCGAGATACATATATGTGATCATAAGTGGGCGGTGCCACCGCCATTTTCCAAAATTTTATCAAAAGCGTATTTCTTGGTAAAGAATTGTTGCAAGCATCAATTTTGAATAAATTAGCTTTAATATTTCCTGATTTACCGAAGATTTCGTATTTCTCTAAATTGCCGTTGTATGGGATTTGTGCGTGGTTATTGTTCGATTTCAAAGATTTTCGGCCGTATCGTATTTTATATCAAGGCCAACAACTGTGCCAAGTTTGGAAGAAATCGGTGCAGCGATTACCAAGATATACACATTTAACCATAAATAGGCGTGGTTATTGTCCGATTTTGCCCATTTTCAATACCATCCGTCCCACGCCAGAAAGAAGTGCACGTACCAAGTTTCGTTAAGGTAT